ACATTATATTGTCTCATAGGAGCTCTCCTTTTTCGATAAGGCCCGTTACTCGTAGCACAAATAGTACATTTCTTACACCAGTCTTTTACATCGTCGGAACTGTTCATCCAATAAAACCGTTCCCGAATTCGCTGAAGGGTCTTTTTTACACCAAAATGCCCTCCTGATGGACTGTCGTGTAACTGACGAAGTACTTCGGCTATTCTGCTCTTTGGAATCACCAACTGTCTTCTCTTCTCTGAACCGTCATCATTTTCCAGGACTCGTTTGAGCAAGCCATCTTCCATGATAAATGAGTCCCACTGGGCCCAATACGTCTTAACTATTGAGCCTAGGTTCGATATTTCTTGCCAAGGTGGTCGACGGTTTTCCTCTTTCCATTTTCGGATTTTCTGTATAACTGGATCTCTCTCTTGTTCTTCCCTGATCTTGGTAGGCGTCCAGTCGTCGTGGACCACCGTCGTTCTTAGCACTGCTGCTTCCTTGGATTCCGTTTTGTTGCAGTGAGAACACTCTGCTGGGCATGGCCTTCTGGAAAGAGAATCGGCGTTTCGGTGGCTAACTCCGGCCCGGTGCTCAATCTTAAAATCATATTCTTGGAGTCGTTCGATCCACCTGGCTATCTGACCCTCTGGATTCTTAAACTGCATCAACCACTTAAGGGCGGCATGGTCGGTTCGGATTAAAAACTTCCTTCCATAGAGGTATTGATAGAAGTGCTCTACTGATTTCACTACTGCCAGAAGTTCTCTTCTCGTGACGCAATAATTTCGCTCAGGTTTTGAGAGGACTTTACTAAAATATCCAAGGACTCTTTCCTGTCCTCGTTGAATCTGAGACAGCACTCCTCCAATTCCCACATTACTTGCATCTGTATCTAAGATGAACTCTCCTTCTGGCAGTGGATACCCTAAAATTGGTGCTGTGATTAAAAGCTTTTTTAAGGTTTCAAAGGCATTCTGGCAGTCTACATCCCAGCGGTATTCTCTTGCTTCCTCTGTAAGTCGCGTTAATGGTTTAGCGATATCTGCAAACTTCTTAATAAACCTCCGGTAGTAAGTACACAGTCCTAGAAAACTTCTCACTTGATGTTTGTCAGTTGGTTTTGGCCATTCCTTAATAGAATCGATTTTTCCCTTATCCACGGCCACTCCTTCTTTACTGACTATATGACCCAGATAATTGACTTTACCTTGAAATAGCTGGCACTTCTTGGGGTTTAACATCAATTGGGCAGCTTTAAGTCGATTAAAAACGTTTTCTAAATTCTTCAGATGGTCTTCAAATGTCTTCCCCAAGACGATTATGTCGTCTAGATAAACTAGGCATGTTTTCCAAGATAACCCTCTCAACACATTTTCCATAAGCCTCTCAAATGTCGCAGGAGCGTTACAAAGTCCAAATGGCATAACGTTGAATTGCCATAATCCAGATCCTGTGGTGAAGGCTGTCTTTTCTTTATCTACCGGGTCCATTTCTACCTGCCAGTATCCAGACTTCAAGTCCAAAGTAGAAAATAATTTACTTCCAGCCAATGTGTCTAATGTGTCATCGATCCGAGGCAGAGGATAACTATCTTTCTTGGTAACGTTGTTCAGCAAATGGTAATCCACACAGAACCTCGTTGTTCCGTCTTTCTTCTTAACCAGGACCACCGGAGAGACCCATGGGCTCGTAGAAGGTTCTATCACCCCGTCTTTCTTCATTTCCTGAACAATCGTTTCAGCTTCCTCTCTTTTCGCCTGTGGTAATCGTCGAGCTGTTTGACGAATTGGCTTAGCATTACCAGTATCAATTTTATGCTTAACAACGGTAGTTCTTCCCGTCTTTCCTCCTTTCGGTACGAAAATATCACGATACTGCCGAAGAAATTCCCTTAATTTCCTTTTCTCAATCTGATTCAGAGACTGTCCAGCAACCGCAACCATTTGATCAAATTTATCGTTGGAATTATCAGACGTTGTCGTCTGACGGATTATGGATGTGACAGGTACACAAGTTCCTACTTTTGTCTCTTCTTGATGGTCACTGGGTAGTCATTGACATTAATAAGTCTCACAGGAATTTCTTTAGCCGAAGTCACTAATTCTTTTCCAATTATGATTCCACGGCCAACTTCGTCGTCATGATTCCAAGGCTCCATCATAACAGGTGTTCCTTCGTCCACAATTCCCTGTAGCCGCGCTACTATTATCGTTTCACTTCTCGCAGGCACGACTGTATCTTCTTTAACGGCTGCTTGCATAGTGTTGTCATCATGTGGATGGAGAAATACCTCCTCGTTACCAACTTTGATTACCTTATTCTTAAAATCCAATTGGAATCCATGCGTATTCATTACGTCCATTCCTAATATAACATCCTCTTCGATGTCAGCAACTATAACAGTATGGACGAACTTTTCTGCTCCAATTCCTAATTGTATCTGGATTTCTCCGTGAATGTTGGCATTTTCACCTGTAGCGGTCCGCAGTCGCAACCTCGTTGGTAACAGTTTCTTACGGCTGTTTATAACTGTCGGACGAATAATGGTTCTTGTCGCTCCAGTATCCACCAACAACGTATGCTTTTTACCATTTATTTCTCCATCTACATAGACACTATCTTCACGACATTTCAAAGAAGCTATTAGTATCAGAGGGTCTTTGGTAGAGTTCTCGGTCGAAGCTGCTCCCCTAAGGCCGACGCGTTCTGGTTTTGTCTTCGGTCTTATGGTCTTCGTTTTCTTGTGTGTCATGCTTTTCATCATATTAACGAGCTGGTCAAGTTTATCTTCATCTCCTTCCTCTTTTACAGTCCTAACTTTGCTATACCCGCCAGAGGCCTGCGTAGCTGACTCGTATTCGAGGGCGGCAGATAAGACATCCATCAGCGTCTTGTGACGAGCTAATCGTAGTGTTCTTTGCATCTCATGATCACAAAGACCATCAATAAACGTTTGAACGGCCAACTTTTCCATCATGTCTTCAGGAGCTGTTGGATAAGCATATCGCACTAATCTGGCAATATCTACTTCATATTCTTGAAGAGCCTCATCTTTCTTTTGTCTTCGATTTTTGAGCTGCGACTGATATACATGCTCCAAGTGTTCGTGGCCATATCGCATATTTAACCTCTTCTTCAGTTGTTCGAAATCATCCGTCTCCTCTACGGCTATGGTCTGGAGCACATCTAAGGCATCTCCTCGAAGAGCTATAGTCAGGTTTACAGCCTTTTCTTTTTCAGACCATCCATTCGCTCTTGCAGCTGATTCGAACTGTTTCATGTAGTTGTTCCATGATGATTTTCCGTCGAAAGTTGGAACTTTAACATGAACAGAAACTCCACATCCTTCAAATTTCGGCCGCGTTTCCAACTTACATTTCGTCTCGTCTTCTTTTGTCTCTACGGTAATTGGATTATTTCCTCTCTCTACCATTCCTGTTCCCTCCATCTTCCTTTCCATCTCTTTCATCTTTTCTTCGAAGGCCAACATATCGGCAGCAACTTGGTTTTTTAACGAAGACATTCTGTCGTCGAGGGCAGACATCTCAGCAGTGACTTTGGAGATTTCCAAGGAGGTGTTGGCAGAAACTTTGCTTTCTAGAGAAGAAATCTCGTTAGAAATTTTGTCTTCTAAAGAGGCGATGTCACCGCAAACTTTGGCTACATCACCAGAGATTTTGACTACGTCGGAAGAAACTTTCGAAATCGACGAGATGACAGCAGCATGCTTGTCTTCAAATATATAAGTTTCCGGATTCAAACCTTCTTCCTCCAAAGCCTTCTTTAATCGTTGGATTAACTCAGTCTTTTTTCCGGTAGAAGCTAATTCTCTGTCTTCAAGATGCCTTCTTAGATTCGTAACTGTGAGCTCGTAAATCGTAGCCATCGTTCACCAATTTCACTTCTTTTCAAAAATTCAAATTAAATTTATCTACAACCCCACTCCTGTACACCATTGTGACGTTTATATAGTTCTAATTTATTTGTCTTTATTCTAATTTATTGTCTATAATCTAATTTATTAAAACTCACGATAGCTAATTACTAATTTATTAAATAACTTTACAAATGTATTTATTTCACGTTTCGTTACATTTAAATACCGCGTGTACCGATCTTCTTATGACTGCCTCCTCAATGAAAGTATTCCCTTATTTATATAATTCCAAGCCGGTAAACAGAAAGGTGTAGAAAATACCATGCTGTTCTCGATGTAGACACAGCGGCGACTGGTCTCAAAACATGTTTTTTTTATCGGCTTGTCGCCCCCAGAACATTCGATTCAGGTAGATTTTTGACCTAGAAATTACGAGAATCAATAAAAGAATTAGTCATAAAATATTTACAGTTCTATATGCCATAACGTTTAAAATCGTAACACTATACTAACTTAAGATAGGAATATCGTAATGCAAAATTGGTTGCCCAAACATGGAGAAATTAACTTAGAACTTTGTTTGTTGAAAGATATCATGGTAATGTAATTCTTTAGGGGTGTACCTCAAAAGCGCCAAAAATTGAATTAGTACAGTCTTCGCTGAACGAGTCGAATTATAGTACTAGATATTATCCCGTAAATGGGTATACAATAAAAATATGAAATAAAAAGGTGATAGTTTGAGATAGATTTACCATATTAATAAATTAAACGAACTAATTGCTATAAATTGGCTCTAAATTTGCTTTCATCAAAATAATAATGCTCTGACCGTCTTGTTCATCAACCACGAAAACCATTGGTCCAAGAAGACTGCAGAACAATGGCGCTTTTCCTCCAAATCCTGGTTTATGATATGTATTAAGAACTGTATGCACTTGGCCAACTGCAGCGTGTTTTTGTCGAAAACCAGGATAAATAATTTTGTAATAAAAATTTTTGTGATATGTTATACAGTCGACTACACAAAATTAACTTTTTCCTTGTGGATTTCAATTAATTTTTTATACTTAATACCAGTTAATTTTGCAGAATTTTTATAGTATTTAGAAATATGTGAAAATTTATTGTTTCTTAGAATGAAATCGGCAATACGATCATGCCAAGACGTAATTCAATTATGTACTCACATTCTATTAAATGGGTATGACGCTGAAGTACCGAAGAAAGAGTTTCCTCGGTATAACATTGACGATTTTACTCCTTCCCAGGAAGAACATCACCAAATTATTATTGGCTTTCCAGAATTGCGACAGAAAAAGATGGTTATATACAATACATTAACCTTTACTAGGCGTGAAGTCGTAACTTTTCATATATCTACACCTTTTATTGAAGTAAGTATGTTTGAGAATATATTAAATTAAAACGGTTTTCGTAGCGTAATACGGCTTTCTGTTCCAAGTCACAACTTCTTTGTATTTTGGAAGTTTTCTTTCAGACATCGCCTTGGCCCTTCATCTATGTTGCCTGTTTTCCTCGTTTCCGTGTCTCTTTGGGATCCAGTCTAATATTTTTGGGGATTCTGCTTTCTTCCATTGGACGTGTCTGTACTATACAAGTTGCTGTTTTTCTACGACTTCTATTATATTTCTTTTTAGTCCCATTTGTTTCCTAATATCATCATTTCTTATATGTTCTTGCGGCTCTCTCCCAAAGTCATTTTCAGTACGTATTAGTTTGGCCGTCCATTTTTTGAGTAATTGCCGTACTTCTGTCCCAAATGTTAACACTGGTTTTAATATTGTATTAATTATTGTTTTAATATTTCTTAATTTTGTCCCGTATTAGTTAGCTTGATTCCTAAGTAAATGTATTCCTTATAACCTTTAATTTTTTCCTGGTCTAGGTAGTTTTTCTGTATCTTTGATCCTTTCAAAATAGGCACTGTGTTTTTTCATGTTGATCTACAGGCCCCACTTTCTATGTTCTTCTACAAGTTTCCTTGACATATATTTAAATCTTCCTTGTCCTGTGCATTAACAGCTTATGATCATCTGCGTAATGTAATGTGTAGACTATTGACATTGAGTGTAGACATTGTCTCAAGACCTATTCATCATTTTCAACATTAAAAAAAAATGGTGAAAACATTGAATTATCCGTATCTGTCTGTCCGTGCACACAACTCGTCCGTTATTAGAAGAGATAGAATGACAAATGAGGTGTCGAATGAGAGCTTATAACCCAAAGTTGGTATTAGAGCTGAGAAATTTGACCTCGGACATCGGGTACCAGAGTTGCAACCGGAAGTGCTGTTTTAAAGTCGTCGAAATTGCACAAGAGATATATTATTCGACTTCTTTGTAAGACGAGAACAAGTACAGACTTCCGGTTTTTATATCACTTCCGGTTAAAAATTTATTACCGTAAGTTTGACAAAAATTACTCAAAAGTAGTAATGGGTAAATAAGGATATGGCGAAAGAAATAAACGTGGGCAAAGTTTCCTGAACTTTTTACAACAGGAAAATGTATTCATGATAAACACTTTTTTCGATAAAAAGTGTAAATGAACTTGGATAAGCCTAGATTGCAGTGTCAAAAATGAAATAGATTATATCATAATGCACAGAAAACAAATAATCAAAGACATCGAAGTACTCAACAAATTTTAATAGGAAGCGGCCACAGATTAATCCGAGCGAAGATACAATTAAATGTAAAATTAGAAAGAACCAATACGATCCTAAAAACACGAAAAAAGAACTGGATTCTCATAGAAAATAAAAACGGGTGTAGCAGTCCAGTGGGACTGTCGGTAGAATTTATACTTCTATACACGTATTCGCCGTTACAAATTTATCCTGGAGTCAATCTGCACAATCATTATATATGTAATGCTATAGATAAGAAAGAGAGAGCAGAACGAGAAAAAGAATTAGTTATATAGGTACATGTTGCATCGTTTGCTGTATATAAGCATTTGACCTGTAATAGGAGTATATTAAATGAAGGATGGTATCAATATTTTAATGAAAATATATATTTTTATTTTCATATATGTATAAAAGGAGTTGAACGCAAAAAATTTGTTTAAACATACTCTGCAGTAAAAATCATTGTTTATTTTGTTTTTTTTTTTTTTTTTTTTTTTTTTGTGGAAACATTAAATTGACCTCTATTTAAACTCTTCATTCAGGACCCTAACCAACTTAAATTAATTTACAAATAAGAAATATACAAATAATACTAAATGCTAATACTAAATTCTAATAATTAATAATTGTCACAGCGCTAAGACATAAACCCGGTTCAACACCTCGGAGGTTTAGGCCTTCTTTGTGATCGTTTTTTTTTTTTTTTTTTAATTTTTTTTTTATTTATTTTTTTTTAATTATTTATTTTTTTTTTCTTTTTTTTTCTTTAATTTTTTTTTTTTTTTAATTTTTCAGTTTTTTTTATATGATTTTTTATTTATATATTTTTTTTTATTTTATTTATATAAGTTTTTTTTTATTTTTTATTTTTTTTTATTTTTTATTTATTTATTTTTTTATATACATATATATTTTTTATTTTTTTAAATAACAATGTTCGTATTTTACAGGGAGGTACTTAATATTACATAAGATTAATTATAAAAAACAATAATTGCTAAACACATTCATTCCGACTCATTCATCCAAGTTAGATTTTTCTCTTAGTCCTTTTTAAAAATTCCCAAATAATTTGTTGTATTTTATGGTTTCGTCGAGACAAGTATAAAAGAGAAGTTTGGTTTTGTGGTAAAGGTATTTGTTCTTGAGACAGGGTGTGCATCAAATATTTAATTGCATCATCATTATGCTTGCATCCAAACAACCAATGATTAATATCATCAACGTAACCATTGCAATCACAAAGTTCTGATTCGGATAGATTTAGTCTATAGAGGTATGTCTTGACAGTGGCATGGTTAAAGAGACATCGAACAAACATGGAATAAATATTTCTATTGGGGTAACTTCTTACGGCAAACGGCTCAGTAGGTAAAACTGGATGAATTTTTGTATAAAGATTATTGCTTCGATTACAGAAAGCAAACCATTCAATGTCCCAATTTTGTTTTAGACTTTTCTTGCAAGTGGCTGTTAGATCGCTTCTATCTAGCCAATTTATTTCTGATCCTTTTAAGATTGCCTCTTTAGCATAAAAATCTGCTTTGAGGTTACCGGAAATACCAAAGTGTCCTTTTACCCAGACGAAATGTACAGTAGTATGTTCTTCCTGCAGCTTAAGTTGGTTTTCTAAAATTTTAACGACAAGACTATTTTTATATAAATGTTGACGTGAGTTTTCTAAAGCTAATAACGCAGACATTGAATCTGATATAATTACTACTTGGTGGTTAGAAATTTTTTTGTTGACCGCCCATTCTAGAGCTTTATGAATTGCGAACATTTCTGCAGAGTATATAGAGCATTGTTTATCTAACTTGAACATTAGGGATTCTTTGTGATCCGGAATATATACAGCACAGCCGACTCCCAATCTAGATTTAGAACCATCCGTGAAGATCCTGCATGGATTATTAAGCTTGGCTATCTGATGCTGAAAATCAACTGTATTCTCATTGTCAAAATTGGGAAACCAAACATTGACTTTGGCGTAAGAAACATTGAAATTCGATTGAAAGAATGTCAAGTCACACGGAGTGTTTAGACGTTGAGAAACGTTAGGATATGCCACTGCCAGAATAGGAGAATTTCTGTTATGCCACCATTTGTCGACTAGATTAGAAACAGCAATATCACATATTTTTTGTAGTAGCTCAGTTTGATTGTAAGACTCGCATTTGAGAATAAATTTTTCAGCTAAAAATAGTCGTCTTAAATGTAAGGGAGGTTCCATAGATTCGGCTAGAAGATTCTCTGTAGGTGTAGATTTGAGCGCCCCTAAAACTAATCGCAGAGCCTTATACTGAAGGCGGTCTAGTTTTTTAAGACGACTATTTGTGGCAGATCCGTATAAAAAGCATCCATAGTCGAGAATGGATCTGGTGTATGCACGATAAAACATTAAGTTAATCTTGGGGTCGGCACCCCATCGATAGCGATTAACTACTTTAAGAATATTAAGACTTTTCTCACATTTCATTAAGCACTCGTTAATGTGTTCGTCCCATGTTAACTTGGTGTCCAATGTAATACCAAGATAAGTGTAGTGATTGTGAACGGGTATACTTAGGCTGTTAAACATAATGCTGGATATAACTGGTAAACGATGTCGCGTAAAAAATACCACAGCTGATTTCTTCGTAGTAAGCTCAAACCCTTGTTTAAAGAAATACTCTCTTGCGTCACACATAATAGTTTTTATTGAGTTAATACTTTGTTGGTATAAATTATTCACAGTGTAAAAGCAGAAGTCGTCCGCATATTGTAATATATTACATTTAATGCCTATATTGTGAAGATCTACGGTGTATAAATTAAACAACAGGGGGCTAAGGACAGAGCCTTGTGGTAGACCTTGATGCACTACTCTCGGGCCAATCAATCTATCATTACATCGAATGAATACCTGTCTATTCAGAAATAGGTTTACTAACACATATGAACACAAAGGAGGAATACCTATGTGCTTTAGTTTTTCGAATAATAGATTTAAATTGACGTTATCATAAGCTCCTGAAATATCAAGAAATATGGCAGATAGATAATTATTATTTGAGAAGGATAACTGAATATCAGTCGTTAATTGAGACACACAATCCATAGTCCCTTTATTTCTACGAAAGCCGTATTGACTAACTGGGAAAATATTTTTGTTTTCACACCACCATTCTAATCTGCTTTTCATAATTCGTTCAAATGTTTTAAGCAAACAAGACATAAGAGAGATAGGTCTTAGGGCAGTACGCTGATTTACTTTGGGTATAGGAATAACCAAGCATTGTTTAAGAGAATCACAGTTGTCTCCTTTAAGTAAAATATTGTTGTATATTTTGCACAGATAATGTATGGCAATTACTGGCAGGTTTAAAAGCATGCTGTAGTTAATGCCGTCAATACCAGGAGCTGTATTTTTAGAACTCTTAATATTTGCTTTAAGTTCGTCAGCTGAAATGGGGGTTAGTAAAAAGTGATCATTAGTGGAGACACTCGGCATAAATACTGGTAGATGGACATAATCTGGAGAGATTTTTCTAAAAAGACTTTCTACTATGTCTTCATTATTAGCGGTGTACTTTTTCTTACCTTGAATTTTGTTTACCCTTCTCCAAAGCTCTGAGGGTGAAGTTTGCCTACTAAGTGAGGAACAAAATCGAGCCCAACTAGATTTGGCTTTTGAGCGGAAAGTTCGTTTACACATAGCTTCATTCCTCTTATATTCAATAAAGTTTGAAAGGGTAA